CTTCTAAGCAACCCCCGCCCTTCGTGGAGACAGGCTAGGGTTCCGGGCGAGCGAGCTCTTCTTGTTTTCGTATTCCCGCACCTGTCTGGGTTTGTTTACTTCTTATTTTTTTAACAAAATAACAGGGAAAACATTTTTTCATGTGTTACTTAGGAGCTCGGGAAGTCTGTAGGAAGGATAGGTGTCCTTTGGAAGTGATCCTAGAGGAATGCGTGCGTGTGAGATTTTGGCATCTGGACTGCAGGGCGATCACCAGTGTTACTGAGACTCCTGCAGGTGCCTTACCTTTCCCACATGCTTTATTTTTCCTCTCAGACCAAGAGTTCCTGCTGGAGCCTCATAACTACACAAATCTTCGACGAGGACCCAGGAAGCTGATAAAGACTGCTGAAAGACACAGATAAGAACTGCTTGTGCTTAAGAAGAAATAGGTAAAGGAATTGACAAATAAGTAGAGTGATTTGTCCTAGCAAGTTTACAAGGAAAACAATGTTTTTCCAATCTGAACCAGACACTTGACATGCAGAGGCTTGCAAGGCAATCCTAAGCAACCCTACTTGTAATATCCTGCAAAGACTGAGACTGTCATGGTAAAGACATCAGAACAGCATCTTTGGGTATGTGTGTAGCACAATTGGGGCCAATGAGGAAAAAGTAATTTAAGGCAGGTGGCTCCTTTGAGGGGAATTTAGGTAGATAAAGGGAGGTGCAAGGGCAGTGAAAAGATTGTTCCAGATACAGGGGAAAAAATGTGGGACTAAAGATTGGGGTCCATTAAAGAATGAAGGGGACTTACTCTCCAACAATATGAGTGCACATGCCCACAGATAGTAATGAAGCTGACCTGCATGTCCGAGCCCATCAGGACATCAGCCAGCCTTTGGGGGTAACACCAGGTCCATGTCTGGAAGACTTGGTGTAGAACAATAAAGCAGCATAGAAATGCACCCTAGTACTACATGGTATGGAGGGGAAAGGATAGTAAAATTGAAAGTATGTCATTCATAAGATTTGTGACAATAGCTTTGTAATAGCTGTGTAATAGAGTGTGAAATTGTATCATTGTAAATTAGCAACACTGGTATGTCTATGAGTTAATTTGAATATTAGTTGATTTATTAGTTGGTAGTGTTTTACTCAATGAACAAAAATTGTAGGCTCCTAAATCAGTTATTTCTCAAGCTTGCAGACCAAAAGGATAGGGTTGGACTCATTAAGTAACAGTGACTTCCAGACAAAAGAGGAGACAGTGGATTAAGGAACCACTTCAACATATTCCCACTGGAGACTGCTGAAGAGATCCGTTTTTCCCAGAATTTGTCCAGGAGCATTTTCCAGGATCTGGTGAGTATGGATGCTGGTAAGAGCTGGAAAAAGGAGACAGCGAAGGCCACAAAGTAGACAGTGCTTGGACCAAGAGGAGTTCTTGAAAGAAGAGAAGGAGGATGTAAAAGCTAATGGAGAACATAAGAGCAGCAAGGTGTAACAAAGTACTTACCAGTGAGTTAAGGAACATAGCAGAATATGCAGTTGGCTAAGAAAAAGACCAAAATGCTGATGTTCAGAAAAACCATATGCGGGTGGGAAAAACAGGAAGATGCAGAAGGTGGACAGGAAAACAACAGAGGAAGGACAGGGAAAAAAATAGCAAGAAGACGAATATAGATCAAAGTAATGAAAAGGAGTACTGAAAGTTTATTCATTCATACTTAAGCACCTAAGAAACTTGAAATCACAAATTGAAATGTTTTTCCAGAGGAAATGTTAAAATTAAGTAAATTTGACACCTGACACCTAGTGTTTTGTTTGCAGTAGAACGGGATTGATGTTTTATCTTTTTCAAAATGTAAGAGGTAGAACTTTTTGCCTCAGTGTGTCATGTTGTGGAAAAGCATGCTATCTTCAGCCTTTTACCTTACACAGTGGTGCTCTCAGAGCAGTGGGTCTCTTGAGTGTGCGCAGTCACACTTGTGAGCTGTGTTCACATCCAGGTAGATGAAATGCAAGGTCTTTTAGTGCTCGGCTTGAGCTGTGTTAGTGAAGCTTCATGACGGTAAAGTTGGATTTATGTTAGGTTTATTCTGGTGTGACACGACTGTAACATTTTATTTAAAAATATGTATCCATATTTTTATCAGCCAGAATAGAGTTTCATTTACATTAGCATAAAGCTAGAATAACAATGATATTTTATGGTGTTACTCTGGTTTTCCATTGGTGTAAGAGATCTGAACTTGGCCCTCTTTTTGGAAATTATTAAGGATAATGACAAAATGTCAACTAATGGAAAACATTTAAAGAATACAAAGAGTGTTAAATAAGAGTGCAATAAAAGGGCTTTTCTTCTGATCCCAGGACAAGTTCAGTTCAGCACAAAACTACATTTAGAGCAATCAAATACAAGCCTGTTAGTGTTTGGGGTGTTATAGCTGCTTTTGAAGGTTTCTTTTTCATTTTCATTTTATGAACTGTGCCACAGCTGGGATCAAAGCAATTACTTGTAGGTTCTCCAGTAGCTTTTGAAGACACTTTCAGACAGTAAACGGGCCTAGTATAGCAAGTCTCAGAACTTGTTCTTTGCCCTGCTGTGGTCCCTCCCTACTGCAGCAGTGAGAAAGGAACAAATAGTAAATAAAAGTGAAACCAGGGGAGAAATCAGTTGCACGGGGAGTTTCCTATTTGGACAGAGCTGATGGAATGTTTTTTTATCTTGCCATAAAACTGAAGTTTGCCAGTGGAGAAATCTTAATGCACGTTCCCTAGTTTTCAGATGTTTTGCAGCCATGCTTTCCCTAGTCTTTGAATTTCCTATTCTATAAACTGATACTCAGCAGGCACTACAGTAATTTAAAGCCACCTGTCAAATTCTCCCTCTGTTCTTTAATTCCTGCAGCAGACATGTGTGGAAAGGTGCTGTTGTTCCCTACAGAACGAAGAACTTGGGCTTTTTTTTGCAGTCAGGACAGTGCTTCACATCCTATGGAGAAATACTACCCTGAGTGATACTGACCAAATCATCGTACCAGTGAGGTCCCTAGAGAACGCTCAGTGGAGCACAGATTAGAGTAGTTTGCTTATGTTCTTATTCATACAAGCCTAAATCTGCTTACGTTGATGAAATGAAGCAGAGTTGCCTAAATTGTAGAGGTAGGAATCAAATAGTTATACTTTGTGCTTTGTTTCATTTACAGAAAAGTCCCATCAGTAGTATGGAGAACCATCAAGCCTGATGATTTTAGCTACTTCATGTTTACTTGTTTTCTGTTTAGGTAATTTGACCTGAATGCTGATACCAAAGCATAACTTTTACAGAACAAAACTGTAAAACTGCATTGACTCTTAATGGACTCTTATTGTCCACTGTTTCTGCTTGCTTTAATTTTCAGAATAATAGCAAGAGCGATGCATTCATAACCAGCTGCCAACAGGGATTATAGGTAGCTAGGATAGGTAGTGAAAATGTCAATTCCTTTTACTTCTTCCTCAGTCTCTAGGAAATAATAAACTGCATAAGAATAATTTCTATGGCTCAGTATTGGCACTTCCTGCAGCAGATCAGATTGCTTTCTGTTAGTTGTCTTAGGTGATATGACCCACACATTTCATTCTCTTCATATTCAAAATACTGAATTCAGGCTATTATACTGAGTTTAGTTGTTTTTCACTACACTGGTAACTATAAAGTCTAGAGCAGAGCAATAAGGTGATTTTCAAAGTTATATTTTATTAGGAAGTTTTAATAATTTCAAAACAAAACTTTACACACAAAGACATAATACCTTAAAAATTAACAAGTTGTGAGAATTCAGTTTCCTATTAATATAAATGCAAGGCATCTATGGTTGGGTAAAGTGTAAGTACATTCTCTGTGAGTGTACAAACCGACTTAACTAGAAAAAAAAAAGAAGACTTGTATGCCAGAAAACATATGGCTTCAAAGGGTTTCATTTCATATAGTTCAAAATGTCAGCAGCTTACACTGAATTATACTGGAACACTAAAAGTGAGTTTGTTATTGTCAAGGATGACAAATATATTTGTTATAGTAAAAGAATTCAAAACCAAAAAAAAATCACCAGTAGAGTGTTAAGAGTTTCCCAGAGAGATTCGTCATTGTTAATAATTGCACTTAACCTGTAGGCTGTTACTAGTAGCTAATACTATTTTCTTTATTATTTCAAAATATTTATAATTTCCTTAACAAAAATCCATTCTGTACCCAACACAAAACATTCACTGAATGCAGATTTAAGATAACACAATAGTGGATTTTAATTGTGCACTTATACTTTCCTCTTTTTACCTATATACCAGAAAGGTTAAAAAAAACAGCATTAAAATTAATGATCTGTGCAAAATGGGAAGCCTTTATATAGTAACTGATACCTCATGCAAAAGAGAAATATATAAAAAAACAGTCTAAGAAGCCCTGAGTCAGTAATTTCATTGCAAAGGCGAGGAACATGAGTGCTCTGAGTTCTTCCTATACATGGGTGCATATTCAAACCAGTCCAGTATTTACTTAAAATGTACTTTAAAATAGGCAGTTTGTGCAGTTTCTCACATACACATCTTCTACGCACTTCATTCCTTTCAGCAGACTATATTTAATACTCAATTTCATTTAAGTTGTCAGGATAGCCTGATGAGAATTGAATTTCTTCCACTTCTAGAATGCAAGAAGGGGAAAATACTGTAAGTATTTATATTTTTATCATACATAAGAATGCATAAAACATGAAGTAATTACCACACTGGATTTAAACAGGAGTGCCATATGGTTTTTAAAAAGTGATACAGCATCTTTATTAGTTGAGATTCTGAGGATGGCCTCACATCTTACTAGAAAACAAAACTAACCCTGCAGCATGACACTAAATTCAGATCCATTCAGTGGGGATTCAAAGGAAGAAGTATCACCTGCCTAATTACAAAAATCTCTGTGAATTGCTAGGTGTTTCCTAAGAGAAACAGAATATGTTTAAACTTACCTAAACAGGGTCCTGCCTGGAACAGAATATCATCAATAGCAGTGTCACTTCTTACTGACACACCGCGGATCGCCTCAAAAATAATCTGTAAAGGTAAGACAGCTTTTCATGAATCCCACAGGAGGAAGGACTAAAAAAAATAGTACCCACGCAGTCCATTCAAGGATCTAGTGTGTCCTGAAAGCCTCCTTCTTGGGAAGAAACATCTACGCTCCATCAGTGGACTGACCACCCTGGTCAGAATTTGGATGTGTGCTATGCCAAAGGAAGCAAATTTGTTTTCACAATTTGTTAAGAAATTGCTGTGTGTTTTATAGACCATTGATAAATTTTCTCCAGTGATGTGGCATTTTCTATCTTGCTTTTCAGCCCAAATGTGTTGCTCTGTGTGTTGCCCACATGCAAGCAAGACTTGAAGGGAAAAAAAGCATTACAATATTATGTTGTGGGCTTACTGATGAACTTGCTTTTCAGTAAAAGGTTTCTTCTCCCCCCCCGCCCCTTAATTTCCAAGCTTTTAAAAGTGATTTTCAGGCAAAGTGATTTAAAAAACCACACATCAACTTTGATTAGTGATCAGTGCAGTTTTGTGCCCAGTGCTGTTTCAATCAATAGCAATTTCAACTTTCTCTTTGACAGAGAAACTGAAGCAGGCTTTTTCTCTGGCAATACTGAGCAATACTGAAATAAAGGCACTGTTGAAACCAAAGGCAGAGCTCTGGCTTTGCATCATCCCTTGCCTTTGGTGCCACCTCAGAAGGACCATCCTGCAAGAAGCAGCCATTTTATCACAGCTTAGTGTTTATGTCAAATCTAGACTGGGCAAATCTAGACAGCTGAAGGAAAAAAAAATTGCAGAAGTGATCTAAGTAAAAACTAGCACTACTGACAAATGGGAAAACAGCACTTAAATACTTTTTAAAAAAATTCTGAATTAATGAGCTATTTTCATACTTGCAACCTACTTATGTCTTTTATAATTCCCTACCTACCTTCATTTGTAAGAAATTACAGGTTACTTCAGCTTGTTCAGATGTCTGTTCAATGCTATCTACTTTTTAACATTTTGGGTTTTTTTATACAACCCAAAACTTGTATTCTAGCACGTAGTTCAGTTCAGTATTCCATTTTGACTGCTTTTTGTTTGTTTTTTCTTACCTGGTAGTTTCTATCACTTTCATATTCTATCAGTCCCCTTAGCCATGAGATGCTTTGTTCCCCTGTCCTCCTCCACAAAGGGATCTCTTCATCATCACCTTCCTTTTTAAGATAAACACTTAGTAATCCAGTGCCAGCTCCATACATGTGATAGAAAAATGTCAGACACTGTTTTCCAGAAGTTCCTCTTAGTGACCTTGAAACTAGGTATGCTCTCTGTCCATAGACCATGTTGGATGCCTCTATATACATGTAGTATCCTTAAAAAGATATACAAGCAAATATTAGCAAGGTAGAATACATTCTCTCAGCGTGTTCATTATGCTCAACATGCTCATTATATAAAAAAACTATGACAAACTATTTTGATACAGATTTTTAAGCTGTAGACTGTTCCATTTGTGAACTGTAATATTTGTGACACTGTAATAATTGTGTGGTGGAATAACGGTAATTGTGAATGCTAATATAAGAAAACTTCATGGAATCATAGAATCTTGGGGTTGGAAGGGACCTTTTAAGGCCATCTAGTCCAAACCTCCTGCAATGAGCAGGGACTAGATCAGCTTGCCTGTTTATATCTGATGAAATACATAGCAACAGAAAGGAATACAAAGTAAGAAAAAAATCATAGCTATTCTTAAACCAGGAATGCACTCTGACAGTGGTCAATTAATTGGAATTCACAGACAGCTGCACATACATCTGAGGGTACAGTTTAGGCAATGGTCGCAGCTGATGCTATTAACAGAGCAAATGAATTGAAATACCTCTTTTAAATCACATGTGACAATATTTTTCTTTCTGTGATCAAGATGTGAAGACACAAGTGAGGAAAACTAGACTCTCCAGAATCCATGAATGAATGAAAGGTTGTCATGAACTCTGGTCTGTGGAAGAATTAGTCATTAACTGGTGGCAGGCAAATTAATCCCGCCCCCCCAATCCATCATTTGCTTGTTTCCAACTGGAGCAAACTGAGGTATGTCAGAAGACTGAGGAGCAGCCCCACGTCCCATCTGCTGCATGTGGCATCCGTTCTGTGTCTTGAGATGTATGCTCTGCCAGCAGGCAGTGAGCTCAGATTTTGCAGCAGCTCTTTATGCAGTCCCACTGTTCCCTTTTTGTGGTGTCGAAGAAGACAAGCTGCCCTTCTGCCGCCACAAGTCCCGGTGGTGAGATTGCCCTCAGGAGGAGAGGGGATTCCTAAGGATCAGTGAGGCAGGAGAAAAGCTGAGAGTGGCAAGAGCAGCCGGTGGATGCTCAGGTGTCTCTCATGATACTCCGATTCCTATTATCTACACAAACCCATGTTGAAGACATTCCCTCTAACCCGGGTTGTAGTTTGGTGGTGAGCAGCAGTAGAGAGAAAGGGTGAAAAGGAAGATTATCTACAGCCTGTAAAGAAAAGATAATTTCATACAGTGTGTTCAAGAATTCCCAAGGCTATTTATACCAAACCTAGTGCAAGCCATTGTGAGGATTTTGATGTTCACTATGCTTAAAAGTTCCTTGAGTTAAAAATCAAAACCTACAGCTCATACTACAGTATAATAAAATAACGTGCCTTTAGTTCTAAGGCCTGAATCATATTATAAACTTGTTGGAAAGACTAGATCAGCTCTCGGGTTTGTGAATTCAAATCCACGTATTTCTCAAGAAGATACGTGAAAGAGATACGTGAAATATGGAAATAAACGTTGTCACAGGCCAGAGTTAAAAGATTTTCATGCTTCACCAGTTCTAAAGTCAAGCTGCAGCCTCAGATCGCAGAATACTTAGTGATCTACATAAACTGAAAATAGGTCTGAAGTCACTTTCTGCCTTAGGAATCAAGAAAATTGTGCTAACAGCCCACTCCTTTTCTTAGGCAAGAAACACTTTAAGTGTTGTTCCTACTATAAGGAGAGGGTTGTTGTCCTTGGAAACAAGAGCTGGGATATAGAGTATTTGAAAGAGGAAGAATAAGGTGTATTATACAGGGAATAATAAGGGGTAAAAAGCATCAAACCAACCTGAATGTTGTATCCTTTTACAGAATTGAGTTTGGTTACCTAATGAAACAACCAGCAACTTCAATGTGATGTAGTCCTTTTGGATTATGTTTTGTAGAAAAAGAAGGGTCTGACAGACAATACAGAGGTGGCCTACAGACACCTCTCCAACAGTCTCACCCACATTTCAAAATAAAAATCCTCAAATGAACTTCAAAAACTGCTAGGAAAAATTCTCACATTTTAAAACTGGTGATCACATGTCTAGTTGATGCAGAAGAACTGGACAGCACGGGTAACAAAGACTTACAGACAGTATGTCATCTAATTCAGTCTAATGTCATCTAATTTTTAAATGGAAAAGGGACAAGAATTTCAGTATTCCCCTTGGAAAGTCATTCCACAGTAAAAAGGTATCATTACTGGGAAAACATTCTTGGTTTGTAGATAGCCTACATTTCCACTTGGATAACTTAGCCAATAGATCTGGTCAGAATATGCTTATTACATAAGTAATGTTTCTTGGTTTTGTTTCATAACACATAAGAGAAGTTTGAAGCTTTAAAACTTACTTATCTCTGAAGGCTATTAATATATCTACCCAGAATCAGTACTGGTTAGAATTAACAATGGAAGAACATAATTTCTCGTCTATCTGAAATGTCAAGCCAAAGAGAGACACTCCCATCTGCATTCTCAATTCCACATGCAGGATTTTGGCCATACAGTCCCACACACCATGAATGCACATCTCTCTAGTCAACTTCTGTACCTTGCTCAGGATGCAGCTGTTACAGAAATTTTACGAGGAGATAGGAAAGGCAAATTTTGCTGAACATGCACAATGCCATCTTTTTAAATGAAGAGATCAGAAACAAGACCAAAAAATTGTTATTTTATTAACTAGAAGCATTTGTTATTTTGTTAACTAGAAACAAAACAGTTTTCCAGAGTAACTTGAATTAAGCTTGCATAGAGTGAGACTTCATATGCATAGCTGAAATAACTATGCTTGATAATGCTTAACGAGGTTTACACTCAATCACATTTGACAGAATAATAATAGCCTTTGGTGAGCCTTCTGAGCAGGTCAACTGTTTTTGTAATCCAGCTAAAATTTTTAACTGACTGAATAGATGGCTACTGTGAATAAGCCAGCCTGTCTGCAACGGACTTTATAACTTGCTGAATGAATGCTAACCACTGTGAAGGGGAGCAAATCCAAAGGCCCCAAAAGCCTTTTTGAAGGCTTTTAAAGCTCACAAGACCTAGGGCAGTTTCATCCATTAATCTGAAGTCAGTGGAGTTGCTACTGAGGTCCTCTTCTGCAGGAACAGTAGCACCCAAGGCAGTGATACCGTTCATCATTTCCAGAAGTCACCAGGTACAGCACCTGTCATGGGGACAATTCTGATGCAGTTTTCTGCGTGCTTGCTCATGCTAACGGGGGCCCCAGTTGCCTAAATACTTTAAATTACACATGAGGTTATGGAGCAGGTTTTCAAGACAAAGTGTTTGTGGGACCTCTTTTATTATCCATGTCTTCTTCTAAGTTTGAACAGGAAGATATTAATGTGGAAGAGCCCCCAAACCACTTGTTTGCCTTTTAGTTTCAGGGAATATTCACGTAAGATAGGGGTTTGAGAGAAGGCTTTTCTGCGGCATCTGGAGAGTCATCCTGTCCTTTTTTCTCCCAAAGGAGAGGGCTACTCTGGGACATGAAGACCAAATTACTTACCTGGTCTGCAGATAATTCAGATTAAACATCACATTCTCAAAACCATCTGTGGTTCCCTAAGAAATGTGTTTACTTCATTTGATTAATAACGGTTCTGAACAGAACAGTAAAACCTTTCTCTGTGTTCTAGGTTATAATTTCACAGTACTGTTCATTAACTGTCAATCTCTGTTCTGAAAGTTCAATGTGGAGCTTAACTCACCTACCCCAGTAGTGTGGTCTCCTTTTGGTCCGGTGTAAGACGTGGGAGTTGGACCCCTCCTCCTGTGCCAACTCCCACGACCTCTCTTCTTCTGGGTAAACACACACTCATCTTTTTCAAAAGTACACTCTCCAGGATTGGGCAGCAATAGATCTATAAGGAGAGAACATAGTTTAAAACTGCAAATACATTAGACAGATATATGGGGAGATTACATAAGCAATGTATTGCATTCACTCACCTGCTGAAATCCCTTACATCTACCTAGCAATACATACAGCATTCACAAGCTTATAAAAGCTAGCTTCAAACTGATGTACAAAATATAATTTAATTTTCTTCACAGCTTTTTGGAAATCTGTGCCCTGGTCTGGCTCATTAACATATACTAATATTCTTTAATACATTTCATACAGTTTATTATATCAATATAGCTCTTACTCCACAATAGGCTCTACCAGTGTAATTTTCTCCACTACTGTGGCACCCCAAGCAGTTTAATGAGCTCCAGCATGTATAACATGCATATTAAATGAGTCTTGTCAAAGATGGTGTTTCTGTGATCTGAAATCAAATGGCACATTTAGCTCTCATGTTCCCAGATTCTAACAGACCACAGAGCTGCCATTACTAGAGTATTTTCATTATTTCAATTCTACTAGATGATGCAGAATAGAGAAAGTTGGCAAGTCAGGTGCTCGCCAGGAAGCTTCCATCAGCTCTTCCGCTATAATCGGAATTTGCAGTTCAGGAGTAAACACTCTGAGCTGCTTTCATCTTTTGGAAAGGAGGAGGCCTTGATGCCTCACACACTCTGGAGCATTTGTCAAGCATTTTTTTGCTGCCATCAGTGACAAGTCCCCATATGACAATACACCCAAATGTCAGTTCTGCACCTTTGGTTCTTTTTCAAATTACTTAGAAACTACAGAAAGGCAAAACAGACAGCTGTTGCAAATACGTTACAAAAATGGCACCTGGTTTTATACACGTGACTTCTTTCTGTTCTGTAATGGTTAGCCACCTGAGTGCATGAAATCCAATCAAAAGAGGTCATTAAAAAGTTCTTACTACATGGGAATATAAATGGCATGGTAGATCAGCCTCATCACCATTTCAAAGGCATGGCTTTATTCCGAAGAAGAATGGGATTATAGACTGTGCCTGTCTCATGAGAATGGTTTCCAAATTAGGATACAATCATTGCATTGTCAAACCTCAAAAAGCTCCACAAAGAGGGAGTTTGGGTGAGTTCAGAGAGGTTAGCCTGCGCATGTCAGAGGGTAAAGTCTTGCTCAAAAACATTCAGTTTCTCCCACTACGCAGAAGGGAGAGTTAGACTCGACTTGTACGTCTTCATTAGAGAACTGCAGCTCAGATAAGGGACTGTGTGTTGGCCTTGCAAAACTGTACTTCTGGACTAAAAAGAATAATGCTTTGTTTTGAAAATATTGCTTTTGGGTCCATTCCTGGTTTCCTAAAAGCCATTTGAAAACTACTTTCCCTTCATTTGTTGGTTTTGTTGGTTTTGTTTTGGTTTTTTTTTTTTAAATTATAATGCCCCTAAAGGAACACTCACCTGCAATACAACTGCACCAGAGTCAGTGAAGTTGATTAGGAGTTAGCTGGTACCCCTGTGAATAAAAACTGGTCCTCGCTGTATGTATGCTACAGCAGAAAGAGGATTTATGCAATACTTATTGGAAAAAGAAAAGAAACCACAATGGAATGAAGGCAGCTGTAGGATAGGCTTGGAAAATGAAGGTATGCGACCTCCTGCTAAAAAGGGTAGCAGCTGTTGGATGACAAATATACATGGTCTTACCAGCAGCCTGGCAGCTTCCCAGGCTCAGTGATACATCATCCAGTGCCACAAGTCCACAGTCCCAGAAGCTTTTACACCAGCTGACAAAGACAACCTGCAACACACAAGGGAAGTTTCAGGTATCTAACAAAAGCTGGCACTGTCTGAAATTTTAGATTTTTCCAAATGTGCTAACAGTTTTGACACTACAGAACAGAAATTATGAATCCACTTTGTTTTGGTGCGTACTAATACTGCCAGTCACTAGAATTTCAAATCCAGTGGGGTTCAGATGTATGTTTTCATTCAATGGGAAGCGTTTTCTCACTTTTATAAGCAAATTATATATCTCTGTTATTTCTATATTTCTATATATTTCTATATTTCTATATATTTCATTAGGAGTGTATTTTTTAGTGTATGAGAAAACATGACTCACTGAGGCTGTTGTGTTTTTTTACCCCCCAAATAAAAACCGATATGAAGAGCTCAAATTTCCTCAGCTATCTTATCCTTACAACCGGGAGGTTTTATCCATGGAAAGATATACTTCAAAGAATAATGCAGACTGATGGCCAAGAGAAATGGCCATGGCAAAAAACAAAGAACAATAGAGATGAGATGAAACTACTGCCTAAAATGGGATTATTCAGGAATGACACAACACCATGATATCATAGAGCAGGAGGCTGGAAATGCTAAGCATCATTCACAGTGTTCATCTGGGTTTGTGAAGATAAGAATAGTGTCCAAGATGTTTTATTTGAATACACATTAATTTTGCCATGGAAAATACAAGTCACTCATGAGATGACAAAATAAAATGTAAAGAAACTGTAAGATTCCCGGCTGCCCTTCTCCCAAGGTTGACACAGATCTGTTTGAATTATAGAAGACACAATAAGGTTTATTTTGTGAAAATACTGCTGGTAGTTTTCTTTGCCTAACTACTGCAAACCATCTGTCTGACCATTGGGGTTATGACCATAATCTGGGAGGAGCTTTTCAAAACAATTCCTTTGTGATGAGGTCTGAGCTAGTGACTGGAGATGGCGTAGTGTCACTTCTAACAGTTTAATATTCTGGAACAACTGTAAACACCTCAGTTACATATTTGAGGTTAAATGCTGACTGATGGTTTCATGTGGGTACAAAAAGGTTATTAAAAATCGTTCATGCATTATTTTGTATGTCTTCTTTTTAACAGGCTTGGTAACACCTTCAATATGGTCATTATACTGGATTTTGCTAGATTGCTTCTCTATGTGGTATTTATTTACCCATCTGCTTATAAAACAGCCTGGGATGTAACTACACTTTAACCTTTAAAGCATGTATTGGTTATGCTGCCCACAATGGAGCAATTTTCAAAACCATTTTCCATTCAGTGCTACCAATCCTGGTAATAGTGATTATCTGTCTTGTAAACTGCTACAGGTGTGGACTTCTGGAATGCCCCTGCACAGCATGCACAACTGCTCAGTGTATAGTGGCCTAAAACTGGCCTTTTTTTTTCTTTTTTTTTTTTTCCCCTCTGTAGAGCTGCTCTCTTAGCCTTAAGGTTTAACAGGACAAAAATTGTTTCCTACTTTGTAAGTTCATTCTCAAGAAACAGGCGCGATCTATTAAAATATGGTAGCATCTCTTGGAATAAAGAATACAATAAATACTGACGTTGGGTGGACGTCATTCACCAGACTTTTAATAAATGCATTCTGGTGAACATTTGTAATAAACTAAAGACATATTATAGTCCTAAACCCAAGAATCTTCAGAAAACCACACATGAAAGGGTGAGGTCAGTCCTCGTTTGTGAAACAACATTTCCACACTGTGGAATCATGTTGTAAGTGATGTTTTCCTATTGACATCATTGGGAGCAGGATCAAGTTCTTTATTCTTAAATTGCAGTAATTTGTTCCATACAAGGTATGTAATTACCCATTAGATCCTGCAGAAAGCCCTCCATTTCAAAATCATCGCAACAATAACTGGTGGTCTCTCAAAGGCCATTGAACCAGTGGCCTTTGTACAATCAAAAGATTGATCTGTTTCTGTGACATTTGTAAAGTTGTTCAGCTTTGTAATCTGTAGCTTTAGCGTTACTAATTCTCCACTTGCCTTTGTGGTGCTGAGTGACACGCTGCCATGAGTAGACTTTATAATCGCACAGGGGTGGGGGAGCTTGTGGTTGGGAATGCAGAGTTTCCAGTGTTAGCTATAGCAAATGTACTGAAATTGTTCATTGTCTCTTCGGCTTATTTTGTTGTTATATTCTTGATTTAGTTTTAAGCAACGTGGTAGATCATATTTTTATTCACAGGTCAAATTTATTCACTCTTTTTTTTTTGTCTTAAATGTCCTTTTTTGTCATAAAGGGACACATCTTTGACTATTTGAACTTTGCCTACCAAAGTTGTATCAATTTGGATTTACTTAGCTATTCGTTTTCACTCTACATCAGACCTCTGAACCCCTTCTACAGTCTTGATAGTCTTGATAGTCTTAATCTCATAATGCTTTACATTTGTTCTTGCTTTGAATTAAAATATTTGCTAGGTCAATTATTCCAAAATAAATTTTTACAAAGTTATCTCATGTCTTGGAAAAGAATATAGGGGGATCTTTGTGCTCAGCTCACTCTTTTGTCATAAAACATGACAGATGAACAACATACTAATTGTTTCAAACAAGGTAACAAATCTTTCTGGACTTGCATGCTATCTTGGATGCTAAATTAAAAACATTATCAAATGCAGGCAGTTGTTGCCTGTGTTACTGAAAAATAAAACATATTTTCCTCTCATGTCTCTTTTTCTTCCAATAACAGGACACAGCCAGGGCAGTAGTTTCTTTCCAAATCATTGCCCTGATTTCTGGAAGCTGGTTTGTTTATTTTCCAGTCCTTAATCAATGCTCCTGTCCTGCAGCCTCAATGTATCAATCACCAGTTCTTAGCATTTATCCTGGATTATATCAGTAATGAGCAACACCAGATGAGAACAGCTGGTAGAGCAAGCAGGGTTTCACTTTTCCCGTGACATATTGTTGGGTTGTGCTGCAGACACTAAGTGAGGTAGAAGGGACTTCTCATCCTTAGCACTCTCCATCTGTACAAGTAGATGCGAGTCAAAATGGATGCATATGAAGTTTACCTGCTTTTGGAGGAGAAGAAAGAGTAGGACATGCAGCAGGGTACCTCCATGAAGAAGTGTAAGGAAGGACTAACAGGGAAGCTAGTAAAAGGAGGTTTTGAGGGAGCTGGACTAAGGACTGGAAAAAAGGAGAGAAGATGCCCCCAAACCCCTGTGTTCTGTGTATTTTCTTTCCTACTTGTTTATCCCAGAAAATATAGCTCTTGCTCCATTAGAGAGCCAGACCAGCCAAACAAAAGAAAAAATGTGACAGCAACCAGATCTGGAGACTTAAAAGCAAGCTATGACTCTGAAGCAAATTCATTTGCCTGGTCCCATCCTAGTGAATATTGCTAGGTTTGAACTACATCCTGTCTACCAGCTAACAGAACAGCCTATGGCCACAGGCTGTTAATGCTGTACCTACAGTCACTGGATTGCACTGTCCAGTTGAGAATACTGCCTGCACAGAAGGGTACACAGGACACCGGTATCCTCAGCTCTCCCCCAGGGCCCTCCTAGGTTTCCAGAAATCTGCTATTTTGGCGCTCTCCTCCTCTCAGTGAAAGTTTTCTTGGCTCTTTTTATAAGATGAAAAGGTTTTTGCCTTTAGACTGAGGAGTCTTGTCAGATGATGTGGCATCGTAATATCACAATACTAAGTACCCAGAACAAAAACTGAGCAAAAAAAGGAAATGTCAGTTAAGTATCACAGAAACCAAAAGGAGGTATGTAATATTTCATGCAACATACCTCCTTGCTTAGTTGCTGTGAAGATGCAGGCCACTTAGGGAACACTTTCTAACCTGAATAATTTTTACAGTTTCCAATATGTCATTTCCACAACCATATATCAAACACCACAGACAGTGGGGTACAAGTTTTGCAAGCACTAATACTAGTATTTACAGACTCTAATGTCCTCATTTTAAATAGACGTTTCCAGTGACTATTCTTTAAGAAATATGTTGTTTTCGAGGTGAGGGAAGGAAGGACAGAGTGCCATACTATAAAAATGCAGCTCATTCCAACCTCTTTAGGTTGCATACCTTATCGTGGGAAGACTGATCAAGGATTGTGTCAGAACGGTACCAAAAAGCTCATTTATTTGACACAAGTGGGGGTTTTTCAGAAGAGAAGGAGGAGGACATGAAGACTGGTATGTCTGCCCTCCTCCTGACTGGAAAGCTGTGTCCTTTATGCTAGTGACTCAGTCACGGGGATCTAGGACTTCATCATATATCCAGGATTGCTTTAGTCATTTATCTATGACTTCAGTGGACAACTGGGAGACACAAATTTCTCAGCAGCAAAGAGAAATGCTAACATAATTTAATATTGAGCATCATCACCGTGATGATGTGAGAACAAAGGTCCAAAGACCCCCATATCAAGCCCTAGGAAGGTGGAGGAGTGATAATGGATGTTTACGGAAAACAGTACAAGAAACAAATAACCATAAAGCTATTTGTGCTGTTATATTATGATCAGCCCGCAGAGAACAATTTGCTGAACTGGAAGTCACACCTGTACCACTATGTTTACAGTCCCTGTGAGGTCTATTTTCCATGAATTTGCCTAACCCCTTTTTAAATGCATGTATACTATTGGCCTCCACAGCACCCTGCAGCAAAGGATTTCAGCGTTTAGTCATTCCCCAAAAAGTGCTCGTTTTTGTTTGTTTTGAAGCATGTAAATATTAAAGTGCAACTCTCAGTCACTTGATTTTGCTTTCTCACAACTGCAACTAAAATTAGTTATGGAGGACAGGGGAAAACAAACAGATGAACTCCAGGAAAGAGAGTGAGGAAAAAAAAACATGAGAGAGGAAGAAAAGTAGACTGAAAGAATGAAAACACAAGAAATGCAGCCACAACTACTTTGATGGAAGTAGAGTGGACTGTTACGATGCCAGCTACCTTTCTGGGGATTTGGTTTTGAACTCTGTGGGAAGTATTCAAGCACTACAGCACTAGGTAACATTGCAAAAACTTGCATGAATGGATAAAAAACATGAGATGTTTGCTTTTGAAAACCTGAGCTTCAGAATGGTGAACCCAATCTAGCAAAAATTAACTGATATAAGCAGACCAAATTGTACTCAAACCTTCATTTTAATCTAGGTATCTGGACTTTGTTGTGAAGTTGCATAAAAGAAATATCTTTCCATGATGGCGTATACACACAAACACACACACACAATACTAAAATTCAGATTCTTACTCCATGGTGCATATGAGCATCTCCAGGTTGCTTATGCCATACGTGAATTTTCCTTTCAGTTAGCTCTGACATTTTCCTGCCATGTATTGGCCTGGAAGATCAGTTTCAGTACATTCAATCAGATTAAAAGGATCTACATACATACTTCAGACTCATATTTTTATGCTGCCCTTTTAAAGGCTTATACAACAAAGCATGAAGGGTTTAATTTATTTCAATATATGTTAGGAATTTTTTTTTCTTCCTTCTCATGTTCATTCCCTGGGCATTACAGAGTATAAAAACAATACTGTATGTGTGTAGGATCTTAGGTACTTACACTAACTAAAAGAGAGAATGCCTGAAGTACAAATTGAGAAATCAGGATTTTAAATTTCCTGCCTTCTCACTAACATTATATAGCATATGTATTTGCAGTATGTACACATACATACATACATATAGATATGTATAAACATTTATGACTTGCTTAGCTGGATCATACCCATCTAACCTTTTCAACATGGTAGTTTTAAAGTGTCATATTAAAGCCTGTGGGCCAGCTTCACGTTTCCTGCTCGCAGAACTGAAGCCAACAGTCTGTGCCAGACTGCAGTTAGCTAATTCAAAAAGAACTTGCAAAAACCATTACACAAACCAAGAGATGAAAATCTGAGCCTTTTTATTGCCTTGATGCAAACAAATACCTTATCAAAACTAAAAGATATCAGACATTATATATTGTTTTCAAAGCCTTGGGAATAGTATTCATAGTACAAGAAAGATGAAGGACATCATAGGTAATCAGATATTTTACAACAATTGTTTTCTGGCTGCAAAATCATGACGACCTTCAGGACTCCCTGGCCAAAGCAGCAAAACGACTGCCTCGCTGACTTTACTGGCCATCAAGGCACTGCCAGCAGACTGTTTACTGTTTCCACAGGCACTGACCCAATACACAAGTCACACCCAGTAACCAAGAACTTGATCAGCCAAACTACTGTGCATGCCTACAACTCGTTATCATCCAAGTCTAGACATGATCCATCTCAGAAAACAATATGATAGCCACATAGCCACCACATCTGTATTAGAGGGAAGGTGGTAGCCCTATCTTATTTTAAGACCACCTCACTCCATTAAAAGACTGTTTTTCACTTGCTTATAACATTGCCAAGACACAATGATTTCAGCTCAGACTTTCCATGCTAGGTCCTTGCTTCAGGCTTGTTTTGGAATATTTAAGCCAAAACAGTTCCATCATTTCCAAGAACAAGGCTAGGAAAAAAAGGTTTTCCTTTGCCCCATTAAAAAAATTCTTTGAAAAGCTTGGGCACTCCTATCCTTTGGAGTAGGAGCATGAAATGTGTCAGTGTTTCGTCTTTGTGCCAGAACTGTCTTTTCTGTCAAGTCATTAGTTTTTGAAAAACTAAAATTTGTAAGAAATGGGACAAGCAGGGCAAACAAACTGGGACATGGACAGGATTAGAGGGAAAAAAATTGGACTGTCCAGAGCTGCAGAGCCAGGAGTGAGATGGCGAATGGCAGGGGGTTTGCTGCCTATAGGGCAGGATAGATAAGACAAAGATGCATCAATGAGTAGGCAAGAAATGCAAGGACAGGTTTGAGGAGACAGGACAAGACAGGTCAAGCTTCAGTGAACTTGTTTCTCTCCTGTTGCTCTATACTGTCTCCCTCTAGAGCCTCCGAAGGGTAATCCCTGACTTGCAGGTTCCCACCACTCCTCGCTGTCAGGCAAAATGTGCTCTGATGCATGTCCAACACTGGCCTACACTGAAGACGGCCATTGAAATGCATGTTCCTTGTCACCTATTTCACTAGGTCCTAGGCAGACACACCTTTACAGATAACTAACCTAAGTGTTTATACAATGCCATACAGTGCTGCTTCATTTCCTTCTGTTGGCTTGGAAAAGAAGGAACAAACAAAATAAAGCATGAAAATACTTTTAAAAAGTATTAAGGTTGAAGAGTTGGGCATGAGATTGCAAGGAAAGGCCAGAACTGGGTTCACTGTGCAACTTCATTCAAGCCTGCTTGTGAATATTACAAGCAGAAAAATTGTAACTACACCAGTTTTTCTCCCTTGCCTTATGGCAAGCAGACACATGCTTAAACTCTAGCATCAGTTGTCTTTTGTATAATGTCTTCTCAGCCGTAAACATATCTTGATATACTTTTCCATGTTGACACACTTCAGACCTTCACTCATTGTCTTCCATGTACTATTTGTCCACAGAAAACTGGATAAATTGATGGTGTATATACATACACAGCCATCATGAAAACCGTAAGACCGTTATACAACGTTCAGCACATTATATCTTGTGCATGATTTATTATGTACCCATGGCATCTACTACATATACAAAACTGCAACTTAATCCCTACTTTAAACCTAAATTAATCTTCCAATCCAGGAAAAAAGACACTGTGATGGAATAGGTTTAAGCCAAAGGTAAGGTAAAACTTCATTGAATAGAATCATAGAATAGTTTGGATTGAAAGGGACCTTCAAAGGCCGTCTAGTCCAACCACCCTGCAATGAGCAGGGACATCTTCAACTAGATCAGGTTGCTCAGAGCCCCGTCCCAGCTGACCTGGAATGTTTCCAGGGAAGGTATCTACCACCTCTCACATCTCATCACTTCACACCCCTCCCCACCCCCAGCAAATACATAGTTATTTGGCTAATGAATGTCTGAATTATGATATGCAGAGTTCTGTAGAGACCAATAAATCTCACTTTTTGTGATATTTGAGGAAGGCCTCCTCAACAGAAACATTTTGCAACTTGCTTCCGTGGGAAAGAAGTCTTTCCCATCACAAGACCCTGAAGGACCCACTGAAGGTTTTTGAGAATTGCCAGAGGCCAGCAAACCCTCTTGCTGCAGAGCTCGGGGTTTCTTCCCTCCTGCAGAGGGAAGCCTTTGGGCTCAGAAGCAGCAAGGATATTCCCTTCCCTTCTTTATTCTCCTCTGTCCTGCTGTCCCCATCTGTTACTGCCTACGGACAGGCTGTAACTGCAGACAGCCGCAATTCACGAAAAACTTTCCATCCCAGGCAAGCTTCTTCACAAATGTTTTAGATACCCTAACTTCTAGGAAACATAAAAATAGTTCTTCATAAATTCATATTGGAAAAGATTTTCCATGTAAATGTCAGATGCTAAAAAAACTGCCACCTCCAAGGCTATAAACCATTTCTAACAGTCATGCTCAGCTGTCATCACCCCTCACACAGTGTATTACGCTACACAAGCTACTGAACCTTCTCAGAAGTAATAAAGAAATATGTAAACAGGAGATGGCAAATATATGTTTTAACCTTGCCTTTTCAAATACCTTTTAATGCTTTAAAAAAAGAGAAAAATACTTTTCTGCAAATATTTTGGGATGATACTGTAAGAAACTTTTCTATCATGCACTTGCTGGGCAGTAATAAAATTCTTTCTTTTTTTATATCAGCTGAAAGGGAATTAGAAATTCTATTATGTTTTATGCATAAAAAATATGTACAGTAAAATTCCATCAATTTTTTAAGCTATCGGATAACCGAGAGAGAACACTAGCCAAGAATTAAGAATGACATTTTTAGCATAAATTTCCCTTTTAACACAGTTAAGCGACTTTTTTTTTTTTGGTGAACTTTTTCTTTTACAAGGTATTTACTTCTAAGAAAAACACTTTTTTTTTTTCAAGAAGAGTTAAACTCAGTAACTACTGCAATTTCAATAATTACTTTGTAGTGGGGAAAATGCTTAAGATGTTTGTAATTTAGAAATACCTCGTTACAAGACAAGCTTTCTTGCATATGTTCATAGTGCTATCACACTGTGAAAAAAAGATGGATTTTTCTCGGTGTCATCAGATAGTAATCCATCTGTTCCTCCTTAGGTGACTCATAAATAGTGAAAACCCTTTACAGAAATCGGGATAACTGCAGAAGTAGTGCCTACACAGATTTGCATAAAAGTCAGTCTTTGCAAAAAGAGTGGAGGTGAGGCATAACAGCAGCTTGAGGACTTACTGAGGAGGTGATGTGAAATATTATGTTATTCGTATTAACCTGCTGAGATAACAAAGTGACCTCTCTAACCAAACATTGCAAAAACTTCAAGCCCATTGCTCTAAATTACACTGACTTCTGGTTTCATATTTTACTCCAGTGGTTGAGTTTAGCGAAGGAGGATCAGCTCCCCATTTTGACCAGAATTTACCAATATTGACTGTTTAGATTAATTAAAAACTGTAATTGAGTACGGTGATGCAAACCACACAGGAAACAAACAAACAAAAATGAGTGAACGTGGAACCTGCTGAGAAACCAAGATGCAACAGTCTATCGTTAGAGCTCTTGCGTGAAGTTTCCACAAATACTGTGACTACGGTTGAGGACACCAGGGCAACGCTGCCCTGTCCCTGGTACAAAGCCCCTTTATCAGGGCTCCTATGAGAGCCGGGCTGTGAAGAAACGCTCCACTCCCTGCTGTACTGCCTGGGGAACTCTATTTCACTTTGCAGTTATAGCTGATTTAAGCTTAATCCCCAGATAATACAGAACCCTAGGAGGAGAAAGCAAGGAAAATCTCCATCCAGAGTTCAGCAGATTTAAAGAGTTGGCTCTTACCTTGCAAGGCATAGGCTTTTTGAAAGAGATTTCCGCTTGAGTCCAAACTCCCTTTGGAGAGTCCAAGACGGACCAGATTTTCTCTTGAACAACATGATTCTCCTCAAAGATATAAACAGCAAGAGTACCACTCATTTTGAAAAACCCATATAAGGCATAATAAAAACGCAGACAAAACTGCAAGTTTCCTGGCAGGGTCGGGCCATACAGACGTCCAATGTACCCAGGCTGTGATGTAAACTTTGTGTTTGCCAACAAGTAATAACCTGCAAGACAGCACAATTATTGAGTATTTCTAATACACAATTAGCACAGCTGATTTGCTATTAAAGCAGCATCCATTATTGCATCAGACTGTAGGTATAAAAACAGTTTCTACTGGCAGGGAACAAATTATCACACTCTGTTTGAAAGGAAATAAGAATTTTTCTAAAAGTTTCCCAGCTGCTTCAAGCTGAACTGGCACGTGGCTAAGTTACCAGAAATAAGCATTTTTCAAATTTACACTAAAAAATTCTCTGGCCTGCTGGCCTCACTGGAAACCTGGCTGTTTCAAGGGCACTGCTCCAAGACCAAAGAATGAAGGATGAGGCACAGGACCTATTATTCCCTGCACCAAGTATAAAGAGGTGAGACTTTAGCACAGACTATTAAGGACCGTGAATACTCTACGCAAAGAGATGTGTGAGTTTCAGAACTTATTAGCAGGCCTTTCACTACATGGCTTCACTACGCAAGATTTCACAGTTTACCCTTAAAAATGCCAACTATCCTAAGCCTGGAAGTGCTAAGAGCCCACCATTTCTCCATTATGGTAGTATTATATTTGCTTGCATATTTTTGTGGCATCATCCCTTCAGTGACTACAGTTCAGTATAGTGAAGATACTCTGATTTACAGCCGTGCATGACTATTCAATAGGTGACCTTCTCCCTCTATGTGTGGCACAGCCAGAGTCCCAGCTAGAACAGAGCAGTGTATGCTGATTTTTAATGGCAGGGAGTTGCAGTGAGGCAATCTAGTGAGTGTGCTGATGACAATATTTAACAGGGTGAACAATGATACAACAGGTTAACCTTTATATGCAGTTTGACTCTTCTAGTGAAAAGTTTTGATTTACCGAATCCGGTAGTGTGATCTCCTGCTCTGTACACATTACGCTTCACCTTCACTCTGCTCCATCCTGGGCCGTCTTTGGGATCCTGGTAGAAATTACACAGATCTTCCTCAAAATTGCAGCCTGCCTCAGCAGGATTGAAAGGAGTTCCTAAATGATAGATGCATATGTTCTGTTAGGAAGCGCACAGTGTAATAAGCATACGTATTTGAAGCACAAGGATGCCAAAGTGTACTCTGTTTCCTCCTTTTTTGCATTACAGAAGATGAACATGTGCAAAGATGTTACACATATATCAATCACAATGGGATCAAACTCAATTTTTGGTCACAAATGGGTGTTATTTTCTTATATGTGTGCTGGAGCTGGGAGGAAACCTCCTTCACGGCCCCTATAAAATATAAAAAAGCTACAGATATTAAGATAATATTCCTCCTTTGGGATATAACACACAAAGACATTCAGACAATTTGTTTTCATCCTCCTTCTTCATTCAAAAGGTATTTGGACAAAATGGGTGTGAGTGTGCATGTGTGCATGGGTGTCATATTTTCATTTCAGTTTCCAAGGGGATAACTTTCTAACATCAACATTTAATATTATTTTTAAAAGCAGTTTTTAAAAAAAACTTTTGTAGTCACGTATAATGTGTGTGTGCGTATGCATGCTGTAAGTATGTAAGCCAAAGAACTTTTGGTTCATGTACCACCTCATGGCTACTGACCACTGGAGCTATGTCTCACGCATTTTAGCACTGCAGCAAGGAAAGTTGCACCATTTGTAGTGACGCTGATTAAAAGCGAAGACCCGTGAGGTGGAGTTCATGGGTCAGGATTTGCTTCTGTCTGAAAAAATCCCCCTGGTGCACGGGTGCTTTTATGTAAAACATTTCTCCTTCTTTAAAAGCCTCATCAGTCACTTGTACCAGATGCTGGGGGAGGAGGGACACGACCCAGAGCCATCATGCGATTTTTGGCTATGTCAGGAGTCAGGACCGTGTAAGCATCGCTCTACAGCAGCACACATGACCCTTCAGCACGGAGGCAAAGAGGGGCTTCCCAGCAGGGGCAGGAAGGGCAGGGACACAGGCGATCAGCTTCAGGAGAAGCAAAATTTTGGCATGGGTGACATGCCTGTGGTCTTTTCAGCTTCAAATAAGCCAGATCTAAGCACTGCCCCTGCCTACAGAGAAAAACGAGCCCCCCATTCTGCTTTCCCAGCTAAAGAAAACACAGTTGGAGCACTACCAGGTCCGGGCAGCATTAAAGATTCATCCTTTGGTGAGCAAGTTTAATAGTCTGGTACCTTTTCCCTCTGTTTGGCTGACATTGAGACCTTTGTTGATCAAAACGTCTGGAAAAATAAGGAAAAAACTTGATGCTGTTATATACACTGCTATGGCTGACTGCAAGTAGAATGAAGATCTCCTGTTTTTTAACATCTGTACTCGAAACAACTGAAGATGGAAGTAGGAGATAAATCTGAAGGATTAACCAGATTTGTTGTAGTTCAACAAAATATAAAGCAAATGATTTGCATTCATTTCTCAAACAGAAGAAAACTGCAAAACTTCAAAGTCAGAGTTAGTAGTCAAAGCTCTAGCTGAACCTATCAAATTTACCAATCAGAGTAGATCTGAATTTGGGTTGTGATAGCGTGACTAGATCAAGGTTAGGGCAGAAAACACTGTAAAATTCGTCCCATACCTCAACACATATAAACTATCTGCAAATTAAAATGGAGGACACAGATGAGCACACAGCTCCAATCCAAGGGATACTGCAAACATAATTCTGGATTTTTGTTGCAAAACAAAGCAAAAACAGAACAGGCATTGAGGAGTTAATGAAACAACTAGATTTACTCAGACAAGAGTCATGGATTAATAATCTGGAATACACCTCCCGTTGATACGTGAGCAGTGTAGGTAAAAGCTAGCAAAGACTCCAAGCAGATTAAAAAGGGCAAAAAAAAAAAAATCTCTTTTTTCCTTGATCACTTCAAAACATTAGCCAAAAATTCAAACTTGTGGCCAAAAGGATGGATGGGCTCAGTGGGAAACCAGTAATCTACTTTTGACTATTGCTTAGTGCTACAGTAAAACTCAAGCAACCAGGACACAGCTACTTAAGAGGCTGCATTCACAAATGACAAAGTCAGTCCTTCATCCCAAGTGCCTCTAGAGCAGAGGATTCAGGTGGATTCAGCTGACTTCTGCTGCTGTGAAGACTTAACAAAATCCTGACAGACATGCTCCTCTCTGAGATAAATAATACCTCCTGGAGGAGTGAAGACAGGAAGGCAAGGCTCCTGTTTTGGCTCTGAAGAAGACCTCAGGGCATGTGTCACAGAAGAACATATACCCTACATCGGCAATAATAAAAAGCCCAGGACGTTTTCTTCCTCATACCGTCAGACCTGGGGAAATCCTCCTCTCTTCTGTAACAGGCCTGCAAGTGGTAATTTGTTCAAAAGTTGGGGTGATGCAAATACAGCATTCAGTCCAGCTCTCTGGTTGCAGATCCCTGAGGCAAGGTCTTTGGGGAGGAAGCTTTAAAGACTGGTTTCTGGATCAAATGAATGGCATTAGTGTTTATCTGCTTTTTTGTCACCAGGAGGAAGAGGAGCCCAATGGCACTGGTCAGTTGAGAAGGTAGCATGTGCTCATTGCTACCAAATATTGCCAGTACTGCCAGATGGTTCAAGAGGGGCAAAGCAGAGGGGGAAAACAAGGGAGATAAATAGAAATAAGAACTCATACCTGTCTGATTGCTGCAGTAAACTGGAGAGAAAGAAATGTCATCAAGGGCAACGTAACCTCCCTTGGCACTATTGAAAGCAACTTCAAATATTACCTGGAAATGATAATTTTTTGTTATTCATCTACCATATACACAACAATAATTTTGGTACACATATTCGTATTACACAGTTCTGATCGTATGTCCCAGACAGACTCCAGGGCATCTCAAACAACACTGCAGGTGTTGGGACAAATTAAATTATATCACTTATTAGAGATATAAGTCAGAGCCTGGTCCTGGAAACAGACCTTTGCCCACTCAAGGTCAAGGAAAAATCAAGGTGAACATAGCTCTTCTGCTGCTTTATGAAGCATCAGTTTTAAAGATGCAGTAAGGCTACTGTCATGATATCCTACAAAGCCAGTATTCAGGGTCGTCGGTCTGTATTGACTATAACTCCAAAGCTCCCTAATTATTACTGTATCTAGAATCTATCTGCATCAAGAGCTAAAAACAAACTGTGTGGATTACCCTGCAGTTACAATACTAAGTTTTACTGTTTTCTCTAAACATCCTCAGACACTGAAGCCCACGCCTTGGCATCAGCTGGCAGGGAAGATTTCCTTTAAAAACATCAGTTAAGATAAGAACCAGAAAAAAGCTATCGCTGTGTTTTGTTTACCACAAAAATCAAACAATGTTCATTCCCAAGGGACATAATTTCCTCAAGTAAGTGGAGGACAGTCCATAACTCTTGAGGAAGTGTATTAAAATTTCTCTTAAGTATCAAAGCTTTGAGTTACAGGAAAACTTTGAGAAAAGGCCTGAATCACAAGGCAACCCCAGGGACAAAACAAGGATATGAGGACAAATGCTTCCAGAGTGAGATCCTATTCAGTGAAAGCAATGCCTGTGATGTCTCGCCTAGGGATGGGAGCCAAACTAGGAGCGCTGTGAAAGAATCCTTAGCAATCTCCTTTAGCCAGATGAAACAGAGGAAGACCCTCTTGAAGTAACTGAAGAAATCATATGCAAGGTTTAATCTTATTTGTATAAATGATCTCTAAAATAATGACTGTGTTGGATTACATAAAAATTCCTGGAGTAGAATAAAGGCCCACCTAGCCCTCAGTCTTGTTTCCCGCAGAGGTCACCTACAGAAAGAACTTAAGACAATGACAAGTTCCCTCACATTGCATTGCTGATGGATTCCTTCTTTCCCATTAATTTGTCTAATCAGGTTGTGAACTGATCAGAATAATGGGATCCATAGTATGCCATGGAGGTGAGTTCTACAGTTATGTGATGCAGGAAAAAATCCTCCCTTTGGTTTATTTTAAAGCTGCTACTTGGTAATTAAGAATTTGGAAGAGCATCATAAATTATGAGAAAAAGGGAGCAGTTAATCTTTGCTGTCATTCATGATTTTTATGAACCTCTATAGTATTCTACTTCAGTATTTTTTTTAGTAGGCTGAAAACTGTTATTTCATTAATGTAATTCCTCCATACTTTTGATTGTCCCTACCTTCCTCTTGTAGTTCTAGGATATTCTTTTCTCACTGAGAGGGTTGCAGTTGTATACTCTGCTCAACCCAGGGGTACCCTTGTGCATTCATCCAGTGGTACGACATCCTCTGTTTTGCTGTTTATTCCAGTATAGTTTCCAACATTACAGATGTTTTTATGAATGCCACTAAGAACTAAGAGGATGTTTCACAAAACTAAACACAGTAATGCCAAGCTCTAAGTGATCGTTAATTAGTTTCTGTCTATAGCACTAGGACTGTTTTTCATGTTACATATTACTTTGTATTTATTGAATAAGTAATTCACTTACCATTCAGTATTATGAGACCTTATCAGATCTAATCTTTCCCATACCATTTTAAGTCTGACAATTCAAATGGATGACTTGGTCACTGACTTTACAGAGTATAAAAGAACTATGTTAACATCTGATGAAAATTACCTTTACCCCTAATAATTTCTGAAAATCTGCAGGTTTACGGTGAATTAACAAATAAATAACTTTTGTGGAGTTAAAGCACGTAGAATGAAAGGCGATTTATTTGTCATCCTAGTATTAGGAGTATATATATAGGGAGAGAGTACATATGTATATAACAATTACATATATAGGTGTAAAATATATATCATATATGTTTGCATACATGCAAGTATATACGTGTGTATATAATACATATAGACTGTTTCTTCCAGTCTTCTAAGATATTTATATATGTATGGGATATAAGAATGTATATTTTACATATATATAAAGATATGATGTATTTATGCAGATATACTATATATATACACCCATACACACATTTTTATACATATATATGTGTATGTGTGTGTGTATATATTTTTTTATACATACTTATATATATATGTAACATGTTTATTCCAGTCTCCTAAGGTTTGGGGGTTTTTTTCAGTAAACACCAGGGAATAAAAAATTCAATTTCTTTCTGATGCTCTTGAAATTCACTACAGTAACCACAGAAAACTGGCTTTCACATCTAAGGACTACTGTACTCTTATGACCCAAGTTTGGACTCTATCTCGTGAAAGCACAGAAGGACTGAATTGCAGGATTGTATAAGGTAGAGAACAGAGCTCAAATATTTCTTTAAATTTTTCTTCTGCAGTGGGAGGCATGCATTATTTTATGATACTCAGCATCCTCAAAAATGGATCACTGAGTCACAGAAATTTGGGACTGAGAGAACATTGACATTATTTAGTAGGAACCGAAAGACCTAACATTAGTAGGACTCTACAACCTCCCAAGGTATTCTGTTCAAGCACTTCACCACCTGACTTCATCTTTGCTGCAAATCAAGCACTGGTATGGAAAGTGATTCCTCCTTGACCCTTATGCAGTAAACAAAGGAAACAACAGATCGCCAGCATCTTTATAACCATCTTACAGATACTGGATGGCCACTGCCACGTTCCCGACTTGGCCCGAGTCGGCCCTGATGACTGACGCAACCTGGAAGTCATAGCTGGACTGTGCAGGAACGATTGCGTTACCTCCATGGGGTACGGCGCATTGAAGTCAACTTCTGCTAGTGCCCAGTCCATGCTCAGTGCACTGTCTGTCTTCCAGATCTCTTCATAAAAGCCACTTGTGTCTCTCAAGTAAACGGTAAATACAATGCTACTCTCCTGCTTAAGTTGATAATAAAAAGATAAGCAGCCAGACATTGGGGCAGTGGTCTTTGGTGAGATTAGCTGGGCCACTTCCTGGAAATGTTTGACATAAACAGAGTCCACATACATGTAGTGACCTGAAAGTATAAAAGAAACTTGGTATAAGGATGCTTTTTAAAGGAAACCACTTAACAGAAGTATCAGGAGACGGGCAGGGACTACACATGTATCTCTACGACCTGGACAACAATGGCTGATTCCTAGGAAATTTTAGTAATTCTAAGAGATTTTTTTTTTCTCCTTTCCTCTTATGTACAACCCACAGTTGTTTGGCTAAGACACCACTTAGAAACAGTCAGTCTCAGCTTTTTCTTAAGTCTTTACTTGAGACCTTTATATTGAAGAAAGTAATAAACTTTCTGAATTTTGGGAGCTGTTCATAAATGGAAAAATGTGTTACAAGTGAGTAAATTCCCTGCCTCCCAACAGCTCAGTATAGTATTTAGTCTTTTTCCAAGTGCAACTTTTTCTGAGGCAACCCAAGTAAATGAACAAGACTATAAGCCATATGTTTCCTCACATGTTTTACTCAGCAGTTCATTTACTGATGAATGAACTGCCAAATAACCTTTATTCTGCATATTTCATTGCTTGTATAATTCTGCTCAGTTTATCTAGGATTTGGTTTCTAAATATTTTATCTTTACTGAATAGACTGGTTTTTTGTAAAATCCTTAAAAAAGATTTTTGGGAGATAAATCACACTCTTATCGCTCTCTGCAACTACCTGAATGGAGGTTGTAGTGAGGTGGATGTTGTTTTTTTCTCCCAAGTAACTAGTGATAGGACAAGAGGAAATGCCCTCAAGTTGTGCGAGGGGTGGTTTAGATCAGATATTAAGAAAAATTCATTTACTGAGAGAGTGGTCAAGCATTGGAACAGGCTGCCCAGGGAGGTGGTGGAGTCACCATCACTTGAAGTGTTCAAAAAATGTGTAGATGTGGCACTTCAGGACATGGTTTAGTGGGCATGGTGGTGTTGGGTTCGTGGTTGGACTTGATGATCTTAAGGATCTTTTCCAATCTTAATGATTCTGTGATTGATATTATGTTAATAAACAGAAAAATGCATTACAAATGAGTAGATTCCCAGCCAATATGATTTCAGGATTGTCAAAGGGTACAGCTTCTCAGATTTTGATTTTGGAAGAGCTGTCTTGATTTAAAGATGATGCATCCGTGTGCACGGATATGCTGTGCATCTGTAGTTTTTCTTCTACCACTCCCAGCAACACAGCATCAGGCAGTATCAGTTGATGAATGGAAAAATGGTTCTTCACAAGTAGAAAACTTAGAGGAGAATGAAGTGTCAAACTGACAGGGTATTTCAGCATGGACACGGCACACTGTGCCATTAGGTTTGCATCTACACCACTCTGTTAATTAGCTAATAGAGTTCTCAAACCTGGAGATACCACTTCTCGCTTCACTTCGGTGAAAGGAGGGGAAAGGGCTTGCTTGGCTGTGGTTTTCCTCCAAGCCTGCCCACTGCCAGGGAACTGGTGACACTGCAGCAGTACTTGCCTGAGAAGTTCTGGGCTTCATTTCTGCTCTGCAGTTTTACCACATTTCATAGCTTAATTATGATGTCCCTGGCTGATGTACCTTCGCAGCACAATTCTTGCAAAAAGAAGGCTCTTCTGTGACTTTTGGCTTTTTGGGGTCTTCTCAGTCAATGGCCAGCAGTGAGGGTTTGATGTGAAAAAGAAACACTGTGGCTACAAGAAAACAGATCCCTCCCAGTTGGCAGCGTTTCCTATGACATACAGTACTTTATTTAATAAGCAGAGCCACTGTCTGCTGTTGAAGTTGTGGTGAGTTAAACTTCCATCAAAATTTTACCAGCATTTAGGTGCCGTGGGGTGATGCAGGGCGGGACCGACACTCTGTACTCAACTCACACAATTGTGAGGTAAATAAAAAGGCACAGCGGCGTGAGTTAAGGAAAGAGGATCAACCTCGCTTGCCATGATGTGATTCCTTGCGCCGTCACAAGTGTCGTGTTGTCTGAGATGCGCAGTGTGCTAGAGCAGCAGATGTCCTGACCATCACCTGCTGCAACACCTCGTGCAACACTACGTCAAAGGCTAAGATATCCCCCAGCCCTTCTCTTTGACTACGTAAAATGTTCTCCTCTCAACAAGGTGGCTGGGACAAGTATTTCATACAGGGCAAGTGCTGAAAATCCTTTAAATCTGTACTGCATTCTGCTTCCTACAGACTGTATTAACAGCACCAAATTTGACTGAAAGAAAGAAAACTCCTAAACTGTGCAGTTTAACACGAGATTCTCCAAACATGTTTCAGTCCCTTAGCTTTCCTGCTCAACTCTCCCAATAGCCACTGGAAAGAAAATCCCTGCCAGATGTACAGAGCAGCAGTACAAAATTTTTAAAATTATTGTGGCCCACACTTTTAGAATCCACAGAAAGATTAATTTTCCCCCTCTCTGTCCAAAATTTTATCATTATTTTGAGTAATTCTGAAGCCTAGAAAAGGGCATAACAACCCTAATACAAAGCTTCGAGGAAACTTTGCGTGAACTTCTGCAAATTCTCCATCTTTTTCTAAGCCCTTTTTTTCACATAAATCATTCTTACCCGACCCAATGCCAGGAGAAAAGAAAGAAATCACGTAACGATTTGCAGTTTAAGAGTCATACATGGATCACAGACTCAAATTTTCCACTATACTTCTGTTTTACATTTGTTGCTTACCCAGTTCACTGTTAAGTGTGTGGTCTTTGGGCAGGATAGACTGAGAATTGCGAATATTCCCTCCACCAACAAACCAGTTGACGTTGGGGTTCCAGCGGTTCACAAAGCCACAAAGATGATTTTCTTCAAAGTCACATTCTGCAATTGCAGACATCACCAGCTGAGTGCACACGTTTTCATTACAGAAACTGGAAGAGAGGCTATTGCTAAGAACTGGCCTCGTTTTACATATGGCAGTGCAGGTGGTAACACTGTATTTATAAAACCGGACACAGCACTTAGCAGCTTATAATAAATGGAAGCAAACTTGGACACAATTTTTGATCAGTTTTTGATAAAATTCTCATTTCCATCCTGTTTGTTCCAATCTATCTTTTCATTATTTGGCAGTATAGGACTGCTGTAATTTAGAAGCAAATAAAATAAGATTTAAAATATATCACTTCAGAATATTAGATAGTCAGAGCAGAACCTCCACTTGTAAATCAGGGATGGCTAGAAGCAAAGCAGGACTAGTATTTCATAGCGGTAATGAGATCGCGTTGTTTCCTTCACAGGGCCAAAGAATCCTGACAATTCAGTTGGACTCCGCCAGAGCTCCCCAGAAACGCAAAGGTCTCCCAGCCTGCTAGCCACTGAAATTTTTGAACTTCATTAGCGGCTTTTGGCAAATGTAATGAGGAAATAGCAGTATGTGTAAATATCAACACAGTTTTCACTCTGCAGCCTGGAAGATGCCGCTGTAAGGAAGCATGAGCCGGCAGATAGCTGAAATAACGTCGCAGCTGTTATGTCCAATATTTGCAGTAGTCTAGTTTTGCGAAAATATAACACGTGTTCCTGCTTGAACAATAAATAGCTTTAGAATGAATTATCATATGTGAAATGTCTATATATATCTCACAGAGATGGTTGAATAAAAACACATATTAGTATGCACAACCTTAGCTTAAAATATCTATATTGAATATGGCAGCCTACTTTTTAATAAGAAAAAAGCCTTTTTTTTTTTTTTTTTCTAAATCCAGGCCTTTAATTCAGTTTTAAAACTGCCAACAAGGCTTTTTTTTCTATACAGAGAATATGGGAGCTGAGCAGACAGTACTTACCAATACAGTATCCAGGAGTTATTTTTATTTCGAAAACTGCTATACTGGCAGATTTATCCTGTCCCATTTCACCTTCCAGTACAATCTGCACAATACAAACCAAACTGTAAATTCTAGGTTTCAGTATTTCCATTACCACCCTGGATATTTAAACAGGAGAACAAATCAAACACATGTCGGGGGCTCATCGTCCTTACAGTCAGGAGAGGTGCTTTTGCTGGAGGAGCTTGGGAGGATGCCCTAAAGACGGAGTCCGTGTCCTTCCTTGAGGGCAGAAGGCACTGTGAAGGACCATGAGACAAGACCAGAAATTCCCACACTTCACGTAAGAGTACGGGACTCCAGATTCCCTCAGCTGTGGCTATACAGGACGTCATTGTGAGAGGTGCGATGTGCCGGGGTTTGGGTAGAAACACTCTCCCCTCCGCTTCTGACTCCCACCAGGAGG